GATCAGGATATCTTCTGAACACAAACTCATAGCCCCTCTGCAAGGCTTTTTTCGTCCTAGCTTGGAATTTGTTACTTGTTTTTCAGACCAGGGTGCAGTTCAGCTCACCTCTGTAGGTCCGACACTGCAGGCTACTTTTGGCCTTCCACTGTATTCAGTACAGAAATATAAGCAGTTCTAGCGAGCACCTATTACAGAGCTCAGTGTCATGGGCTTTTTAATAAATACTGTTTCTCCTATATGTTTAGATCAGCTGTGCTACAGCTATAAAATTAATTTTCATTCTCTTCCCTCCTTTCACCTTTGTTTAGGATCAGTTCCTCTGGCTGCGTTACTGCAGTGTTATTCTCATCTTTTTATTCATCATTGCCTATGGAATAGGACCAGGTGAGTACAACAATAACAGCAACAACAGGAAACCTTGGACTGCATGGATAAGCACAGGCCATGAATGCATGGAAGCAGATGTGTGAATACATCTTTTAGAATCAACAGCTTAGTTTGGACTGAAATTGGAGGAGTCCCAAATTTTGACGAATTAATGACCCACGAAACAATTTATTTAACAAATTATTTGAAATTATTCAGACCCTGATGAATCAGCACCCTGTTTCCTCTCACTGGATTGCAGTTCAAGCAAAAAAAATACCTGTTAATCAATTCACTAAAACTGGTTTTGGAGGGTGTGAAGGCTGCTCAGTGCATCCAGGCTCAACGGGTCCGTCTCTGTCTTTGCCTAAAGGCAGAAGTAGCCTCTTCTAAAATATCAGAATTTTCTCAACTCACCTGTAAAATCCTACTCTATTAAAGAATGATACCTGATAGCACACACAGTCTCTCAGCACTGCTCTGTCCTTTCTCATCCTCTCTTGATGTTACTCTGAATCACTTACATCAGTAAAACTAGGACCAAATGTACAGCTCTCTATTGTGGCCTCACTTGCCTAAGACCAATATTTACTCTGAAAGTTCCCTGACTAAACACTACTTCTAGTTATCCCAGTCTCCAAATTCAAATGGCAGTCTTTATGTATTATGTCTCCTATGGGCAATGGAGAGAAATTAGGGTCATTCATCTCTGTATTTTATACCTCTTAAGTGGATAGAAACTGCACTTCAGGGGTGTCCGTCTCTCTCCATGGACCATAAGAGAAGTCCGTAGGGGAATGCAGATAGAGGGCTGTGCTGCCCAAATTTAAATGATCTCACAGCAGCCTGACTTACCGGGGCTGTGTTTGACCAGTGACATCAGTTCACTCACTTTGAGGAAAATTATTAACTATGATGTTTCTATTGTTTTTCTACGTTTTTTCCTCAGCTGGAGCCGTTTCATCTGTCATGAATGAAATCTTCACTCTCTCAACAAGGTCCTCCGCTTTTGTGATTGGTGGAACCGTCATTTGGCTAGGCCTTACTTTCACTGGAATGCTTTTCCCCTTTGCTGTCGTATGTAATTTGATTCAAATCTTCTCTTTGACTCTATCCATTTAAACTGGTTTTCTAGGCTGGTCTGGACAGGGAGTAGGATGAAATGCCTTGTAAATGAACAAAGCTGTCAATCCCTTATTGCTTCTGGCATATGGAAGCCATTTAGGTAAAACACTTCCCTAGACTTCAGACATAAAACACTTCCCTAGACTTCTTCTGCTGCCTCAAGAATAGATTGAAAGATAAATAAATATTCCTTCTGTAAAATCAACTTATTCCTCATTTCACTGGGACAAATCAGCAATTTTCAAGAATCTATAGGAGCAAGTGTTGTCAGGGAAATCACTCATCTTATTCTATTTTTATCTCCAGATGCTTCTTGGTCCTTTTTGCTTCCTCATCTTTATTGTTGTCCTGGTCATTTCGGCGATTCTGATCTACTTTTTTGTCCCAGAAACAAAAGGGAAGTCAACTTCTGAAATCACAGAAGAATTCAGAACACGCCAATTTAAGAAGAAACAACATCAGACTATGGAGAAGAATGCTACTGAAGAAAAGACATTTTGCACTAAGCTCTGATAGGCCACCATAAGCAACTTCCACTGACAAAAAGTCCTGTCTCAAAATTGAACTGAAAGCTAAACTTTAACAGGAACTTTTCTCAATAAAATGTAATCCAAAAAGCAATACACAACAGCTTGACATTAATCCAAGTAGTCCTAGTTTATATTCATCTTAGCTTTTCGTGGTGAGAGACAATGACTCCTTCCTAGAACAGCTCTGTAGCAGGAAGACTTTCGTGACTACAGACGCATACCAGAGCTGACATATGAAAACATTTTCAGGCATAACACATCAGTTTTGTTTCAAGTCTTTCTCCTTTGCTATCACTTTAAAGAAGCAGGATTTCTCTCTATGCTTGTTACTTTGTAAGAGAGCTCTGCTCAGGACTAAGAGCAGGATGAAGTGAGGACGAAACATAAACATAGTTCTTGCAAACATTTTTCACATCATGTCTTTATGGTGTCACACTGTAAAGGCACTGGTATTGATTATGATCACTGCACATGAACACATACCAGCTAGAATAACATAGAGAACTCCAATTTGTTCTGTTTTCCTGAGCTGACATCCAATAACTGTATGTCCTGATTGTCTCTGCAATAACTGTCAGGGATAAGCCCTGAATCCTCGGCATTTGGTACAGAAGAACTCTCACCTGCATCCTCTGGAGCAAACTGACTGCACCCCCCATGCATATCAGTTGTGGCAAAATCTGTAGCAAGTTTTTGTAGGGTAAGCAGTGCTCTCAGCCTTATTCTGGGTACCTGATGGATAGCACAAGGGTTAACAAACATACAGGTAATGCTGAAAGCTAGAGGACCAGAGCCCTGGAGTGAGATAGGGAGGAGAACACTTTGAGAGAGTACTGAGAGAATAGACACTTTGAAAATTCAGACCATTTTATAAATAATTAACTGCTCAAAAAAAAAAAAAAAAAAAAAAAAAAAAAAAAAGCAGAAGCTGTGATAGCCAATATCTGCTTGCTGTGTACTGGCCTAGGACACATCGGCGTACAATACTACACTTCCTGCTATGCTCCACAGAACCCATGTACTGCTGCCATTCAAGAGCTGCTAATCCTGCTAGACCACCGCAGCATTTAATCACCTCCCTCCCCAAACTCTTCCACCTTCATATAGGACAATCAATTATTTTTCAATTTTCTGTCACAGTCATAAATGGTATACAATGCCTCCTGTTTAGCAGGACCGTAAGTCCTGTCTTTCTGCAGTTTAACCATTTGTATTGATCATCATTGTGCTGGAGCACTGAATGGTGAGTTTGAGGGGGTTTTCTATTTAAAAATTTCAAACAATGAGCTTGCTGCTTCTAAAGGAATAGCCACAGAAGCAGCTCTGATATTAAAGCTCCAGTGTGTGTTCCAGCAACTGAAACCTGGGGCAGATTTTATATTTAATCTGCCTTCACTCCCTGTATCAAGGAGCACTCATGCTACAAAACATTCCCATTCAGAGACACCTCTCCTATTGTGTCACTGAAATATTTAATCCATCCATTCTAAGCGCTGTCCAATTGCTGAAAAAAACCAACAGAAATCATAGGAAGTAAACATTAACCTCAGTCTCAGAGTCAGATGGTTACTTAAGCAGAAGATGCAGAAAACGCATGGCAGAAAACAGTTCCTCAGTCTTGCAGAGTTCTGTCTGCCTGCGATCAGACACCTTTTTGATATTCCCAACCTTCCTGCACGTACAGAAGAGAGAATTTTCAGTTGTAATCTTGGTCAGTGTCACTTTGTCTTTGCTGGTCCTTTTGCAGGAACCAGTCTCAGAAGAAGCACAGCTGGAACATTGCAGAGGGACTGTTCATCCCTGTCACATGGCACCATGTCAGGTTAAAAGCATGAGCCATGGATCCTTTTGTCCCTCTCCTATGAAGTCCAGACAGACTCACTCTGACATAGCTCCAGTGTCTCCTGCAAGAAGTCAGTCCTTCATGGGTAGTCTTGCTGGGCACCTTCACTACTTCACGGCTTAAGGAACCTTTCCACCTCAAGCATTCATCCTCCCAGGCTGCGCAAATCCAATGTGCCAAACCTCAGGAGGCCTCTTCTCCCAAATGCTTACTCTTGCTGCATCTCTTGGAGTTACTGATAAACCAAGCAGTATGTGATTAACCTGCCAATATTAATGTTTGGGTGTTGCTGTAACCCCGTGCCAAGGCCTCTCTTTCTCATACTTCTGCAAGCAACTTCTCAAATTATTTTGACTGCTCACCCTACCTATCTCTTACTCAAAAGGAGAGGATAAACAGGTAAGCTAGGCTTTTTTCTTCTTGCTTTCTCATCTTTGTACCACTGCTTCAGAGTCATTGCTGTGACTGACATCTTCAAGAAGCTGGAAAGTTAAGTGCCATCCAGCCTTAGTTACATCAGTACAGGCCCACGTGTCAGGGCCAAAGTCACTGTTACAAGGCTGCAGCTGGCTTTGAAATTTGCTGCTTATACTTCAAGCCCAATGAAGGGCTGTGTGTGTCAGAATTTGACAATTTTTCATCTAATAAACAATATTTACTATACCAATAATCTGAAACAGAACACCACATATTTATTAATAAGTAAGAGCATCTAACGGTCGTACCAGCTGCTTTTTGCTTTGTGCAGATTACAGCAGAGATACTCCTCAGTCTGTAACATGGAAGTAAAGTATTTTACTGTTCCTCGAAAACTGTTTAGATTTCTTTGCCTGAACTGTTCTCCTTTCCCTTTCCAAAGCCCTTGCTACCCACCCTGGTGCAAGCTTACTCTGCTTTGAAACTCTCCCCCTGTTGGACTGGACTGGATGCAATTATTTCCTGAAATATTTAATCCAGCAGTGTTAACTTTGGCCAGTCGAAGCAAATATAAGCGAGTGAAGACAGAGTAAAAATTTAACTCTGGTGCCTTAAGCCAAACACCCACTGCCATACCAGCAGGCAGGAGACAGAGACACAGAAGCCTGTGATGACAAAGACACACCACACACTGGACAACCAGCCCCTAGCCAGAGATGACCGGCTTCCTATCTGACCTGGTAAGTACTTGGTGGGGTATTTACATCTGTTACATTTTTGTACATTAGTAGTGTTTCAAAGAAAAAAAAATCAGTATCTCAGTAAAAACAACAAGGGTCTTATTCACTAAAAGGATCTCAGAAGTGGTTCTGCCCACTGTTTTGAGATATTACAGGTGTTTGCGCTTCATATGTTATGCCATCCATCTTTGTCATATTTTTATCATTATGATAATGTTTCTTAAATGTTTTCATGTACTGGAAAATATTTGCTTACCATCAAATATAATTTGCTTTGCTTACCTGAAGAAAAAAGAGTTTTGTTAAATATATCACTAATTATTTAGTGCAAGAGATGACAGTCAGAGGTTTTGAAATGCAGGGAATGGGACTGGATGTTGGCAGCTGTGGCATCTTGACAGGGATGTTTGTGAGAGCCTGCAGCATTTATACCATGGCTTTGGCAATTCTTCATTTCTTTCATTCACTATGTCCTGCTGCAAAGGCTGCTGTAGTGTAAACCTAAGTGCCGTGATGGTTGTGTATTTTCAGATCTGTAACAGAGTAGAAAAAAATCAGAGTGGGATGCCTATTCGCAAAGCTCCCAAGAGATTAAGATGACCATGCTGCTTGAGACAGGCAGGAGGGGCAAGAGTTCAGAACTGATGATGGTAACGAGAGCTAGAAAAGACACTTCCTCCTACAGCACAGCTTGAGCAGAACCAGTGCACAAGGGAAATTCTGTCCCAAGACTTTTCCTTACTGTTCCCTCCTCTCCATCTAGGTAAAAAAACACGGATTTCCAAGGGCTGTCACACTGATAGAAACTTGAGTGGAAAAACATGGTACAAGCAACATCAGTCTCTTTTTTTGCCCATTTCAGACTTCTTTTTTAAAAATTTTTATCTGCTGTGGGCAATTTCAGGAAGGAACAAACTTATCTGCAAATCCCTTGAGCAAATTAGAGGTTTCTGGAATGAAAGACACATTCCAAGAACAGCCTGATGTGGCTACAAGCTTAAGAAGATTTTGTTCTACCTCTGTAGGTACAGTACCGGGGGCTCTTTCAAATGATCGCTGTCCTGGGGATTGGTGGAACGTTCCAAATTGGCTTTCAAATTTCAAGCATCACCTACATGTCTCAGGTAGGCAAAGACACACACGGCACACTGGTTAATGGTGGCACTGAGTCTACATTCC